GGTATAGATATAGATAGCTATACCACATTCTATTTGCTGAACCACGAACTTCTAAAAGTTAAGTCTGGTTCAACACATCATCACTCATATGAGTCAATTTTTCCTCCACAGTTGAGTAAAAGGGCAAAGATATATGAGCAGAGGATCAGTTAATGAGAACAAGAATATATATAATTATTATATAACATTATATAGAATTATATAAAATCATAACTATATATAAGTTTATATAGTTGAATTATTTAATATATATTAACATTCTATTACTTAAAATATATTTATCTTAAAATTATACAAAATTGTATATATTTATAAAATAGGATATGGTGTAGTCACACTTCACAACTGCACATGCTGATGTCTGAAATCTGTGTTTGTTTTTGTTGCTATTTTTTTGTTAATCCTCACCGGAGCATATTTTTTCTGTTGATTTTTAGAGAGTGGAAGGGACAGAGGGAGGGGGGTGGGAGAAAGAGAGGGAAATGTGGATGTGAGAGAGACACATCGATGGGCTGCTTCCTGCATGTTCCCCGACCGACTGGGGCTGTGGATGGAACATGCAACCCAGGTATGTGCCCTTGACTGGGAATCAAACCCGTGACCCTTCAGTCTGTGGGCCAAGGTCAACCACTGAGGCACAGGAGCCGGGGCTGCTGTTGGCACTGTATCAAGACTCCAGATTAGTTCTTCAATGTTGCACCGAGTTGGAAGCCCTTATCTAAAAGAATGACTTTTAAAAAAAGTCTATTAAATGTAGTAAGATGGGGATTTGGAAGAAATTTCTATTTTTCCTTTCTCCGGGGCGTGGGTTTTGGAGATTTTGAGGATAATGGGTGGTGGGGGGGACCCTTTGGATTGCATTTGGTTACTCTGTAAAGGTGAGTTTCATATTTTCTTCTGTTTTAAACATGGTAAACTGGACGGGATTTCTAATTGAATCTCCCCTTCCCTGGGGTGGGTTTGGGGGAGTTACACTGGGGGCGCACCCCAGGCAGTCCGGCCCCTGGCAGAGCACTGTGAGCGCCATGTGCTCTTCCAGGAAGGACTTCGGGAAGACGACGTCCTGCTCACCCTCATGGCCGTCCTTGTCACTGCTGGACCCCTGGCCTGCCACTGGGAAGCTGGAGCTGGCTGAGCGCAGGCCCGATGTGCTCCACTCCACTGAGCTGCTGAGGACAGGTGGCAGCCTCTCCCTTGCCAGGGAGTCCGTGCCACTGTCTTCCACCAGAAGGCTAGGTGGTCCCAGGCTTGGAGTCTCGTGTCCTTGGGCAAAGTGCCCAGCCCCACGGTGGCTCCTGTATCTCAATCTAGGCCATGCAGTAGCACACAAGGTTCTCACGGAGCAGGTGCCAAGGCAGAGTCACCTCTCCCTTGATCCTACTGAAGTATCCACTGGCTGGCTTGCTGGGGATCCGCAACGCCAGCCAGCAGCAGCCATCCAGCTTGTTCTGCACCTTGACGACAGCTCCAAACCTCCTTTGCTGAGAAGCTGTAATTTTTGGAAGAGCGGGAAAGCTGTCTCTGTGTCTCACTGAGGAATGTAGCACCCAGTAGCTGGTCTCTGGGAGTAACAGTCTCAGCAGGAATCTTGTCTTCCAGGATCTTCAGGACTATCAACTCTTGCTGCTGTTTGTACATCAACACCTCTGCTCAGGTAGAGACAAGAATCACTAACATTAGGAAACAAGCTACCTGGCTTCAGCAAACATTAGACCATCACGTCCCACTCTTTGATGGAACTGGAGATTGGTTTGTGAGTCTGTTCTCATGGATTATGCAAGGACTCATGTCCATATGAAAATAAATTCTTAAATTAAGTTTAACCACTTTTCTTTGTAGCACTTGCACTTATTATCATAAAAATCTCCATAGCTTGCCTTTCCTGCATCAGAAAAATTACATCTGCACAACATATGCCTTGAATAGATATACCTGCTTTTAACTCATGAGATTTAGCTTTACCACAGGCTCAAGTTCTTCATTCCCCTAGAAGATTCAGAAGACATAAATAGCATCATAGATACGGAGAAAGAGTTGACAGTGGGGAATTGTAACCGGGAATAAAGACTTTATACTACTCTGTCTAACATGAAGTAGAATTAAAATATACTAACAAACTTATAAAAACAACTCATATACTTAGTTTTCTTATGAGCATACTGCAGGCACCAGCAGTTTTCAGTTTGTACAAGAACTGGCCTTGACTACAAGACTTTGGATGAGGCAGATCTCCCAACCACAGGAATTTGACTGATGCTGAATGGTTCCAGGGTGCTACATTAAAGAACTATGTTAGAACCAGCAATGATCCTGCTTGCATGTCTACAGCCCCTCCCCTTGCTCTCTCTGTTCTACTTTTTCTCTCACTCTCTATAAAAACCCCTGCATGCACTGAGATGTTAAGATGGTCTTTGGGAACCAAGTCCACCATCTTCTCAGGCTACCGGCACTTGAATAAATCATTTTCCTTACCCTGGCGCCACCATTCAAGTATTGGTTTTCAAGGGGCAGTCAGCCGAATCTGGTTTGGTATTAGTTGTACTTATGAAAAGCACCTTGAATAATATGTCTACTTTATCTTTTCCACAGAACATCTGTGCTATATTCTTTTTGGGCCAAATGTTGGAAACTATTTTTGCACTTGAATGATACTAAACTAGTGAGACCCTAAAAGAATGCTTAAAAACATGTATCTTTGTTTTGAATCTTCTAGGCTATTTCCTAGGTTAGACTATTCTATAACTGGATTATATTATAATCATGTGGTGTTATACTTCAGAATTGAGCTGTGCATTTGAAACCTGTGTGGTTTTGGGAACCAATGTCACCCCAATAAATGCAGTAAGAAAAAGTTGGGGAAGTAGGGTAAGGATATTCAAATCATGCTGACCTATTTATTTTCTGCATTTTCTCATTCACTGCTCTTACTCTTGATTTTCTGATACCTTATTCTGGCCTTACAGTTACCATATTTTAGTATCCCATTTCATCTTTTCATTTTCTCCTATCATTTTTTTCTTTTTTGCCCAGTGTTCATTCATGTCAGTTAAATTTTCCCCCACTTTTTATTATTTTAGGCCTCATTTTTTGAAACATTTATCCACTTATGTACAACACTGTTACATTTCTTATAAATACACTTCTGAGAACTAAAACTAGTGATATATTAAAGGCATAGGAGCATAGATGACCATTTTCTGATGTCATGCAACACCAAGAAAGAATCACAATTTCCTGGGTAGAATAATTATTTCAAACTTTTCCTTTTTAGGCATAAATTTAAATACATATGGGGTAGGATGGCAACAATAGGTTGCCAGCCTGTGATCTCTAGCTGTCCAAATCTATACCCCATCCCAGCCCCTGCTATTTTAGAGGACTAAAATGGATGAATATTGTCACTGTAACACATTTCAGCGCAACATTTGGGAAACTATGCTATAAAGAATTGATAAGCACACAACAAATTCTTTCAAGAAAAAACTTGTCAGTCAAAGCAGAAGATGAAAAAGAAATTACTAGGGAGACAGAGTAATAACCAGTACATTTCAGTGAAATTGAAGGGGACAAAAAAAACCTTTAAGGTGGTAAAGTGTTCAAATCTGCATAGTGATGACTAGAAATTAACAGACAATTGCAATAAGTGCTTAGAATGATAACCAGTGACACACACTAGTTTTAATAAGTCAAATTGTTACCTCTCTAGTGAACACTACTGTGACATACCATTTAAAGAAAATTCTCATTGAAGAGTAAAGACCAACTACAGTAATACTGAAGGCCATGTGAGGTTTGTTTTTGGCAAAGAAAGTAAACTTTATTTGGTTTAAGTCAACATGAGATTTATTGCTCACTGAATAAATACTAAGAATATATCATTTGGCAGGCACTATGCTATACCTGTGCTGATGTCCAAGGTAGAAAAAAAAATCTGAAAGAGGTTATATGTGTTGAGAATGATTTCACGGTGATCTAAATAGGCAAAGAGAGGGCCTTCTAATGCCAGGGGAAAGCTGGGGAAAAGTTGTGACATGGGAGTTTGCATGGCTGAGAATAGCTGGTCTGAGTGCAGCATTAAATGGACAATGAACAGAAGATATGGAGTGACTAAGATAAACAGATGCAAGATCTTCAAGAGATTTGTAAGCGATGCTGAGATTCTGGGATCAGAATCCAAAAGACGTCAGAGGCCAGCCTAAGGTATTAAGCCTGTCTTCCAATGAAACATAAAACAATGTAAAAATGTGCATCAGAAAAATTGAAGTGTGGACATAAAGGCACACATAAACAGTAATGCTTTGAGTACAGAAGAAAAAGACACCTCTACAATGTCATTTGTAAAATACCACCACCTACTGACAGTAATGAATCTATGACTACATCATGTCATCTTTATTATGGTGATCGTGGTTACTGGGGTGATTATAGTAAGCAATATTTTTAAGAATGAAATGTATTTTTAATGAAGGCAACCTCTGCCAATTAAAATATAAGCACTTACGCTTTTCAATAAGTAGAAAATGTAATGTAATTTAGAAAATGCTAAATACTGTGTATTTTGTTGTTTCTATATTTTATTTGTATCTATCCCTTCACACCATCCCAATTTAGGCCCTCATTTGATTCATCCTGGACTATTTCAGAAATTACTTCTGAAATTTCCTTTTTTTTTTTTTCCTTTACACCCATTATTGTTTCTTTTTAAAGTTAATTAGATATAATATACTTAGAGGGAGGCATATTAACTGTTCCTAATGATCAAAAACATATATTAAAAAAATACTAATTAGCCTGCCATAGAAATAAGACATCATTTTACTCAACTACTTCAAAGATAAAGACAATGAAACCATAAAGTTGAACATGTTAAGTTTATTGTTCAAAAAGAGAATTGCAGGCATTTTACTGATATTTGCCAGCATAAATTTTAATTTTTGCTCTCCTGCTTCATCTGGTAGTCCTTTGGTAAATCGGCTGTGATTGGGGTGATGTTCACGCAATCAAGGTGTTTGAGGAGTTGGCCTCGAGAGGGGGGCGGCAGAGGTATCCGCCATCAATGGCATTGGGAAGCTCGGGCTGCCTGCTGGCTGCAGGGTAGGAGGAAGACCATCAATGACCGACGAGTAAGAATATCTATTTGGAAAAGTAGAAGGCTGCACCATCCTTTCAAAATAACTTCTCTGTAAGGGAGAAATGATGTGGTTCTGAGAAGAAGCTGTGGTTGTAATGAAATTCACCATGCGGGTATTTGCTTGAGTGTAGCTGCTGTGTGAATGCACAGGGAAAGTGGTCAGCTGGTTTGAAATAGCATATCGGTCCATTACAATTTGTTCTGATGGTCTAACTAAAGTAGATGATGGAGGTGAAAAATTACTTCTCACTTGAGCAGTTGTCTTAGCAATTATCTGGCTGGTAGCAGGATTTCTTATTAGAGGCATATTTACATTGGTGGAGTGTGGAAATACACTTTCTTCACTTGTTTCAGCAAGAAAACCAGAATTATGGTGATCCACATGATCATCTGCTCCAAAGGGCTTCTTGTTGAAATCTTGAAACAATGAAGATCCTGGGGAAGCATTTTTAATCCCAACTCTTCTTTTCATTCTTACTAGGAGTTGGGGACAGCCTCGTTTAAAATTGGGATTATGAAAGAACTGTAGCTAAAACCAAAGGAGAAAGTTACCCAGTGACATTTTAAACCAAGATACTAGAATATAACAAACCTAATCTATAAAATATCATTTCCATTTTATCACACAAAGTTATTGTCATCAAATGATGCATGTACACTGTTAATATATTTGAAAGTTTACTTATTAGGCATGGACATTTAATTATGGCTTTCCAACAAAAATGTGTTGTACATTTACAGTGCCTGTGAAGACCACTTCGAATGGTTTCAGGACCTTTATTTAGATAGAGTTCATCAATAAGGTTCAAAGTTACTAGCAGAATTCCTTATAATCCTGAATGTTTATGCCCAAGCTGTCCTAAATTTAGAAAAATAATTAAAAAAATCTGTTTTTAGCTTATATATATATATGAACACATCAATGTAAAAAATAAAATCTTGCATAAATATTCCCTGTATAAGTTGTAATCAGAAATTTCTGAATACCTTGCTTAACACAGAGACTTCTTTTTCTTCTGCCAGAAAGTCAGCTAGAGAAGCAGATCTTTGAAAATTCTGTCGCATTTTACTAAATCCATAAAGGTTAAGCTGTCGAACTAAACTTTTCATGCTCTCAGTCTCAAATATTCTGAAGGGGGCCTTTCTTTCCAAAACTTCTTTCTTAAAGAGATCTTCATTAATCACTATAGAGGTTCCATTCTCATCCCACCAAATAGACTTAAATTGATCGCTTTCCACGATCTTCCACAGTTTTCTGGGAAAGGTCATAGAAAGGAAATCATTATCTTCATCTGGCTCGGAGGTACAAAACGTGTAACGTGGTCTTTTTATCAAGGTTTCTTCACACAAGGCCTGAAAGGCATATTCTTCTATCATAGACCTCAATTCCGAGTCCCCGGGGTATGTGTGATCGCACAGTGCAGACCTAATGGAGGCTTCTGAATCATCTGATCCATCTTGAGGAGAAGCAATTCGAATTTCTGAAGAAGCATGGGCCATCTCACATAAACTTTCCTTCAGCTCCCTTCCACATCTGCATAATTTTGAACACTGCAGCTTCAAAGGCTGTCTTTGCAGGCCTGCCCAGATAAACTGTTCACACCATCACAATGGTCCTCAACCTGAGTAGCTGTGACATCACAAAATGAATGGTCTCCTAGCAATTAAATGTGACATTCAACCAGTGTTTCCTTCTCACGCTCTATATTTTATTCAGTTAAAATAAAATATAGGCGAGTTATTTATGTAGTAACCAAAAAATGAGAACTGCAAAATCTCATTGCTATAGAATCTTTTAATAAGTAAAACATACATACACTAATTTATTTGGTCCCTGAAATACAAGTGATTTCCTCCCTCTGCATACAAACTCTTACTAAATTGGTGCCAATTTAGTACGGTAAATGAACTGGTTAACAGCACTGGTAAATGAACAATTAAAAATGAGTAAAACAGAACAACTGATTAATAAAGATCTGGCAATTAGAAGTGAAATATGTGGATAACCTGTGTATTAAAAAGCATAGCCATAGAGACAGGAAGGAGGGTAGGGTAATGAAGGAATGCGGCGGGGGAGAATGGGAAATACTGTTTGAAGGATACGGGGCTTCCTTTTACGGTGATTAAAATGTTTAAAAATTAGAGAGCTAATGGTTGTACAACATTATTCAGATTCTAAAGACACTGAATTGTATAGTTTAAAATGTTTATTTAGTTTTATTTTTTGATAAATTAAAAAAAAATATGTCTTTATTGATTTTAGATAGAGAGGAAGGGAGAGGGAGAAGGAGGGGGAGGAGATCAATATGAGAGAGAAACATCAATCAGCTGCCTCCTGTATGCACCTCAAGGGGGACTGAATCCACAACCCGGGTATGTGCCTTGGCCTGGGAATTGAACTGGCAACTTTTTGTTGCACGAAATGACGATCAGCCAACTGAGACACACTAGCCAGGGCTAAAATGTTTATTTTTATATTATGTATATTTTACCTTAGTTTTCAAAATGGCATGAATCTATTATCACTGATTACCATAGAACATAATTAGGTTTTGGAATATAAAGTTGATAACATTTCTAGTTAAATCCTTCCATTTCCATAAGTACTTGCGAATATTTATTGTATACCTGTAGGACTGTTGATGGGGTCTGGGGTCTGGGAGTTTCTGGACTTGGAGGCATGATTTCTCATGTTAATTTTAGTTTTATTTTGGGGCCTGTGGAGTCTGAACAAATTTCTAGAGATACTGGGTGATGTTTGAAGTGTGCTGTTTATGGGCTGAGCTCCAAAGCGCTGTCACCTCCTGAGTCTCATTCCCTGCCTCAGCTCAAGAATCAGTCATTTCTGCAAGGAGCCTGGGTCCACTTATTGAAGAGTGGTATTGAGAAACCAAGAGCTAGGGTCTAGGTGTGCTTGCTGTTAATGAATTTCTAGACTCTCCCAAAAGATGAAGCTAAGAAAATTATATTTACATAATTAACCCGTATATACACACATCTATTTTTATTTTTCTATGTATGTATGTACATACAAAGTATTTTTTTAATCCTCACCAGAGGATATTTTTTCCATTGCTTTTTTTCAGAGAAGGTGGGAGGGAGGGGAAGAGAGAGAGAAAGAGAGAGAGAGAGAGATGAATGTAGAGAGATACATCCATTGGTTGTCTCCTGCACACACTCCGACTGGTAGGGAGTGGGGGCAGTGATTGAGCTTGAACTGAGGCATGTGCCCTTGCCAGATATTGAACCTGTTGACCTATACTCTTACCACTGAGCCAAACCAGCTAGGGCACATACAAAGTATTTTTTAATTGATTGATTGATTTATGGAAGCATAAATTATACTGATATCTTGGACTCTAATGCAACACAGGTTAATCCTAGCCTTTTCCCTTTGCTTATATGTCATTTCTTTATGTGACAGTGAAAAATCTGGCTCTCATTATCTACAATTTATTTATCTATTTGTTCAACTCCAGTACACATGCTAAGTAGCTTCTGAATTGCTAACTTGTACTCATATGAGAAACAAATTTACCAAGTAGAATACATTATTTGTGGACATTTCTTTTTTGTCTTTAGCACAGCTGTAACTGAAAGCAAGGTTCAACTGCCTGCCACCATGAAAGCCAGACTCGTGAGACAGGTGCTGGTGAAAAAAGGAAAGAGGTTTACTCAAGTCCATCTTACCATCTCAGTGCAGGCAGGGGTTTTTATAGGAAGGGAGAGGGAAAGCAGAACAAAGGGATCAGGAAGAGGGGCTGTGGACATGGAGGCAATATCCATGTTGTTCCCAATATTGATCTTCTTTGTTTTTATTTTGTTGTTTTAATTGTTAATCCCCACCTGAGGATACTTTTTCCATTAACTTCTAGAGAGAGTGGAAGAGAGGAAAGGAGGGGGAGAGAGAGAGAGAAAAAAAACACACGATGTGAGAGAGACAGATTGATTATCTCCCCCACTCGCCCTGACCAGGGCTGGAGATCGAACCTGCAACCCAGGTGCTTGCCCTTGACCAGGAATCAAACCCTTGGCCTTTTGGTCTGTGCACTGATGCTTTAACCACTGAGTAACACTGGCCAGGGCCCAATATGGATCTTTAATGTAAAATACTGAAATTGGTCGGTGCTAGCCAAATTCCTGCAGTTGGACAATAGGAGTCAGCTGAAGTTGCAGTCAAGCATGTTTCTTGTACAAACAGGAACTGGAACTGCTGATGCCTGCAATATGCTTACAAGGAAACTGTCAATATGTGAGTTCCTTTTATGAGTTTGTTAGTACATTTTATTCTAATTCCATTTCATGGTTAGTCAGAGGAGTATAATGTTTTAATTCCCTGTTACACGACTACCTAATCAAAACTCTGTTTTCTAAATTCAACTTCTTTTTCTTGAAATCTATTCGGTGTGGTTATGTCATACATTTTTAATATCATTAGATTCAGTCTACATTACAGTCTACATTGCATTCTGGGATACCCTATTTCCTGTCAGATTTTCATTTTAATTTGCATACAGTGAAGTCCAGTCTTTGTAGTGCACAGCTCTATAGGATTTGAAAATGCACAGAGCTGTGTATAGACCACTCTTGCTGTGTTTTTATTTCAGTGGTTTGAATATAACATGTGTATTTCAGTGTGTGTGTGTGTGTGTGTGTGTGTGTGTGTGTGTGCATTTATTCTGCTTGGGACATTTTCTTGTTCCACACTTTAAAATATGATTTTATGGCAGGCCAACATTTTAACATCTTTTGTATGGCTGGCGCAATGACAGTCATGCTGTGAAGGCATATCTAAGAATGTGGGGAGCCGCTGTGGCCCNTGGGGAGCCGTTGTGGCCCTAGGCACGGAGGAGCTGCCTGGGTGAGCTGCAGATGTGCTCCCCTGCTCCCAGGGAGATGTGGGTGAGCCGCTGTGGCCCCAANCTGGCGCAATGACAGTCATGCTGTGAAGGCATATCTAAGAATGTGGGGAGCCGCTGTGGCCCCAGGCACAGAGGAGCTGCCTGGGTGAGCTGCAGATGTGCTCTCCTGCTCCCTGACCCAGGCCTTGAGGCACCAAGGTGATACTAATTTAGCTTGAGGCCATAAATTCTAGAAAGACTAATTAGGAAGCTGGCCTTGGCCTGAAGGGTTAAGGGATAGTTAAGCCACATACCAAGCCAAGGACTCAATCCTCCTCAAAAGTTCCCATTAGAAGCTGAGATAAAAATAGTTACCAAGGTCTGAGCTCATGCAGGTGGCAGAGTGTTTACTCTGAAAGAGCATCCAAACGGCCTTGAAGGAATGTGGGGAGGGGTACTATTCAGCAAAATCAACAGTGCCTGTATATAATGAGCTGAGAAAATAAACTCGGGGCTGCAGCAGTCATGAGCTGCAGTCCTCCCGATCCCATCTTTTTTGTGTCTGTCTTTTCTTCATCCTCACCCCTTCCTCAGGACCGTTCGACTCTGCCGGCGGGCTCCGGCATAAGTACATGACTGTTTCCATTTCTATAAAGTCAGTAACTCATTAACTGCTTCTCCACAGTTTGAGGAAACTAAAAAGTGATCAAAACTTTCATTATTACAGCCTCAGTATCATACGTAAGAAATTTGCATCTCTATTAGCAGTGTTGTTTACAAGGTGTACAGTGCAGGACATTTAGCAAATAAATCTTTACATTTTTCTTTTGTAAGAAATGTATAGACTGAACAGAATTTGCCAAAATGTACATCTTCATTACCTGCTGAATATGAAGATAAATGAGCAGTCTAGTTTGCATTTGAACAAGGTATCAATAAGGTTTTGTTTTATTCTTATGTGGTTTGTTGAAACCTTCACAGAAATCAAGAAAACCATTTGAAACTCCATTTTTGAAATCAAAGTACCTACGAGCTACAGGAAACTTGTTTCATTTTTGTCATGATCAACACATTATTTTATATTCTGTAAAAAGCATAATCATTGATAAGAACTGATAGAATCAGTATCGTACCAGGCAATCTAGCTGGGGACCTGAGAGGAAATAATAATTAAGAGGGTTGAAATAGGACTTCCATAATCCTAATTTCCCTGAGATTATATGATCATCTATATAGAAAAAATAGTAGGTAATGAATAACTGGAATACTTATGATAATTCATCAAGTTTGTCGTATCTATGATCAGTATCCAAAAACAATTTACACTCTATGAATGAGAGTTAGATGGGGAAAAGATAATGTTAAAAAGATTTTTTGATTTAAAGGAAAAGGAAGGAATGACTCAGGATAAAATTAACAAAACATATGTGTGCTGAACATAGCGAGCTTTCAACTAACATGGTTTCTTCTCTTTTTCCTGGGCCTTGGTCTGCCCACATACATTCCCATCTTCTCTTGTGGCTGGGCCATAAAATTATGTTGTGAATGAAATGGAAACAATGCCATGTGTTCCAATGCTAATCTCTGGGACTTGAGACTTGGGCTTGCCTCCACCAAGGTGTCAGTTGGGAGCTATGTTAGAATCTGCCTACCACATGG